GACTAATAGAACATTTTAAAATAAAGTAATGAACAAAACTCCTAAGATCATATCAACAAATACAGAAAAATCATAAGATGAGAACAACTAGTGAAAGGAACTGAGAATGAGAAGGAACAAATAAAACTGTCTTTGGTCACTGATATCACTGCCTCCATAGAAAATCCCTCAAAAGAAACAAAACAGTCTCAGCCACAGTGAATGGTAGCCATCAGGCAGCAGGACCATTTACCAAGGAAAGCAAGAAAAGCCAACCAAAGGGGGTAATCAAGATCTGCACATCTTGAAAAGGTACAAACTCCTCTGGTCACCTGCAGATATGTGATTCTGGTGTCAATGCTGAGAACATGTAATCGAAAACTGAGGACAGCAAAGGCTCATTGCTAACTTAAATAAAGACTCAGAGAAACTGGAGCGGGCCTCTTAAGCAGATCAAGTGTCTTGAGAGAGCAAGGAAAGGAGCCAGGCCTGAAAGTCTTATGGGAATGATGATTCACTGCTAGAGGAATAGATTGGGGGCCCTTCGGTCTCTAGCCTGCTCCAAAAGAGGGGGCTTCAGGACCCAGATGACCTTATCCTGCTGAGGGATGAGGGGAAGGATGACTGAGGGTACTTAGTTACCAAACATCAAAACAAATTGTCAAATACGTCCAGTTTCCAGTCCAAAAAAAGAAGGAAATAGAAGGGAACAGTCTAATCAACACAAAAGAAACAATTTGAAATTAGAAATTTCCTTTGGGGGTGGGAGGGAAGGACAGGTGTTTGAATTCAGGTCTTAGGACTTGCAAAGCAAGCACTCTTCCATTTGAGACATGCTGCCAATCCAGTTTGCTCTTGTCATTTTGGAGATGCAGGCTGTAGAACTATTTGCTTAGTCTGGCCTCAAGCCAAGATCTTTCCTATCTCAGCCTCTCAAAGCAAGGATTGCAGGCCACTCATGCCAGGAAAAATCAGAACCTTTATCAGACTCAGAGAATAAATACCACTAGGCAACACCCTGTCCGTATGGGAGAACAACAGACAAGGACCCAGAGAGGCACAGCTCATTCCAGCAGAAACACATAAGCACAGCAAAGGCAGAGAAACCTAAAGTGTACGTGAGGAATTTCTGAGAATTGAAGAGTCTGATTTTCTGCCTTTACATAGGCATTTCCTTTATTGCTAGCTTATTGTGCAGTCTTTCCTTTGGTTCCAACGAGAATGAAGTAGATGAAATTGCCCATGCCAGAAGAGATACATACGTAAAGTGGGACTGTTTCTTGAGACTGTTCTCAGGGAAGAACAAATGCCTGAAGAAGTGCCAGGGGTGGAATAAGAAAGAGCGCACTGCACTAATCTCTCAGTCACTAGGAGGACATTTTCAAAGTGACCACACAGGTTTACCTAGCTCATGGGCCAGGAAACTCCTCCCTGGGCTGAAGCTCAAGCCTTTGATGTAGGTCTAAGATTTCAGACTGTCCAGGGGAAATACCCTGCCCTGGATGATGACAATTAGCTCTCCTCCTTTATTCCAGTGAGGGGAACATGTCTTGTATTGCTGCAGATTCATTCTTTGTAATGTGTCATGGCTGACTTTTAACAGACATCTGACTTCATCCAGCACAGATGGTTCACACCTGTAATCCTAGTTGCTCCAAGGGAGAGATCAGGAATTGGGTTTGAGGTAAACCAGGAAAATAGTTTGCAAAACCCAATCTCAAAAATACCCAACACAAGGGGCTGGCAGAGTGACTCAGTGGTAAGGCCTCTGCCTAGCAAGCATGAAGCCCTGAGTTCAATGCCCAGTACCACAAACACAAAAAAGGGCTCGTGGAGTGGTTCAGGTAGTAGAGCCCCTGCAAGCAAGGGTGAGGCACTGAGTTCAAACTCCAGTCCTGCCAAAAAAAAAAAAAAACAAAAAAGTGTGATGGTCATACCTGTAATCCTAGATACTCAGGAAGCAGGCAGGGATGCAGGGATGAGGAGGATGCCAACCTGGGCAAATAGTTCATGAGACCCTATCTCAAAAAAACCCATCACATAAAAGGGCTGGTGGAGTGGTTTAAGTGGCAGGCTCTGAGTTTAAACTCCAGTCCGCAAAAAAAAAAAGTGGCATCAAGGCGTTACTCTTATTTGATCTTTTCTGCCATGAATTCTTCTCAATGGTCCTAGGTCCCCTATGTCCAGGCCTTCAGATTCCTCTCACAGGATCCCAGGGTGTTCAGCCTCTCCAGGACATTCTGGATGACCTCTAGCTTTCATTGTTTCATCATGCCATCCAATGGAGTACCCTGGCCTTTCTTGCCACTGCTTGTAGCACTTTCCATGTGCATTGGTTTCTCTCTTCCACTAGTCAGAGCGTGGCTGAGGATGTGACCTTTTCCCAAGTAGCTAGGATGACAGGCATGAGCCACCAGTGCAAGGCCAACACTGTATAACTTTCTAAAGACCTTCTAGTTAGAAAAGGAAAGAACTGAAGGAAAGAAAAACTTTACTTTCTTCATTCCTATCTGTATTAACAGGCAAATGTCTGCTGAAACTGCTAATATAGACAATCCTAAGGTACCTGCCCCACCTAGAACAGCACATCATTATCTGCAAGTGATTTGAATTAGTTTTATAATGGTTTCAAGAACTCTAGGAAATCACTCACAAAAGTTGGAAAACAAGTGCATGATATCCTAACTGAGAGAAAATAGAATTGTATTAAATGTCAGAAGAAATGTCCAAATAAAATGAGCATGCAGAAAAAGATGGGAAGCATATACATAATTCCAAATACAGAAAGTGGGAGGGTGCCAATGGCTCACACCTGCAATCCTAGCAATTCAGGAGGATCACAGTTTGAAGCCAGCAAGTAGTTCTGGCTATCTAAAAAATACCCAACACAAAAAAGGGGTGGAGGAGCTCATGTGGTAGATTACCTGCCGAGCAACGCATGAGGCCTTGAATTCAAAGCCCAGTTCCACTAAGGAAAAAAAAATCAGGGCGTGTAGGTATGAATAAAGACCAGGCAGGCCTGAGTTGTGTAGAAGAATGCTTTACTAAAAGTGGACTAAAGGACCATGTGAGATGCTTAGAGTTCACTCCAGCCCTCCTTGTCCACTTTTCCCTGTATAATGCTAGACTTGCACAATGGGCCAGCCAGAGTCCTTGTGAACCAATTGGCAGAACAGACAGGGATGATACGACAGTTACTACACACATTATATGCACTGCCCGTGAGGTGCCCATCAGTCAGTTAAAGGCTTTGAAGAGTTTCTCATCGCAAAACTCCATTTGATAGTGTATACAACACTTCCCCAGCCTACATGGGATCTTTTCACTCAACTATTTAATCATAATTTTGAGCTTGAAGCATGGTCTGTAAAATATTGTAAGAAACTTTCTTTTTCAGGGAGGTGGGACTGTGGCTTAAACTCAGGTCTTTATGCCAGTAAAGCAAGCACTGTACCTTTTGAGCCACACATCCTGCATGAACCTTTTCTTTTACATAAGCAAACTAAGTGAGCCAGAGGATAGGATTCTACCTTGGGCTTGGACCCCAACCCAATAAATGGAGCCTGACAGGGCCAAGGGCTTTTGTGTCCTCTCACAGAAGAGCCTTGGGTAGGTGGAAACCTCCATCTGCTGTGGATGTACTTCTGGCTCAGGTCATAGATTTCAGATTAATCACTAACACTGAGTTTCAATGTATCCCAGAGGTCAGATGTTGGAAACTCCATTTGTAATGTAACCCACTGAGAAGTGGAACTTCTAAAAATGTGATGAGCCCAGGTGCCAGTGTCTCACCCCTGTGATCCTAGCAACTCAGGAGTCAAGGTTTGAAGCCATCTGGGCAAACAGTTCATGAGACCCAATCTCAAAAAAAATTTCCTTCACAATAAAAGGGCTGGTAGGGTGGAGCAAGGTGCAGGCCAAGTTCAATGGAACTTGAATGGTTCAGTGCAGTACCACTAGTCAATGGAATAAGAATATTAACATGGGATTGGGTGAATTGCCACTACAGCATTCCATATTCAAGTAGTTATATGAGAAATTCAACACTTCATTATACAGTATTTGCATATTCAAGGTAAGCTTAGCTCAGCTTTAACATTTAGTACTTATGTGTATTAAGTGCATTGTTGACTAATGGTATTTTCATCTAAACCATGGGTTGACAGTAACATAACACCACCAAACTTCAAAAGCATCTGTACCTATGGGAGAATACTGTCCCACGCATTGCACAATATACTTGAGCATTTCATAGTAAGTCATACATGGAAAATCAGGAACAGAAGACTGGAGTTGATACTTGTGATAGACACATCACACTTTCAATTGTGTTTAATGCTCCTCCATGAACAGGATGGACAAATACATCCTGTGTCTTTACATACATACATAAACCAAAATACTTTATACTGCAGAAGAAGTAGAATTGCCCTCTTCTCAATAATGGGACTGACTATGACTTCTCGTGAATTAGGTTTCCCTTCATAGCACTATTACAGCCTTCTAGGTAAGAATGATTTAAATTCCCAAAGACACAATTCCATTCATCTCCCCAGTGCATCCAGGAGAGGGGACTACCTCACTATATTTAATAGCAGTTGATCCTCCTGAAACAAATGCCAATTCACTCAAGATACTCAATGAAGAATGCATTTAATGATGAGTCACCTAGACAGTTCTGGTGTGTGGAGATTTAATAGGACAATTTATATTACATCTTATTTGACAAAAAATACGGTCATTGTGGTCTCTGCCAAGAAAGCACTCATATTAGTATGACATATTATTGCTTTAACTGCCTAAAAGGTGAATTATGATCAAAATAAGAGTTGTAACAAAACAAGGAATAAGTGAACTTTACATGACAGTATTACTTATAAGGACAAGACAATGACTCTACGTGAAAGGAAGAACTTGGCAAACACGTAAACTTGCTTTTATTGATGAGAATCCTCTCATGAAATGGGAGGGAATTGTGAAAGAACAAGGCTTCTCCACATTTCTTATATACATAGTATTTATCAACTGGATTCTTTCATGATTTCGAAGGGAAGGAAGAAAGGAGAAGGCTTTTCCACATTTCTTACATATATTGGTTTCTCTGCAGTGTAAACTCGCCCATGTTGGTAAAGCCCACTGAATTGAGTGAAGGCTTTCCCACACTGCTCACATGAACAGGGTTTCTCTCCAGTGTGTATTATTTCATGTTGGTGAACCTGAGTGGATTGAACAAAGGCTTTCCCACAATGCTTACATACACAGGGTTTCTCTCCACTGTGAATTTTTTCATGGTTTCAAAAGGATGGGAGAGAGGGAATGCTTTCCCACATTTCTTGCATACATTGGATTTCTCTCTGGTATGAACCTTTTCATGACGGCGAAAGATGCTGCTGTTAGGGAAGGTCTCATGACACACTGTACATATATAGGGTTTCTCTTTACATGGTATCGAAAGGAAGAGAGAGCACAGAAGGCTTTCCCACATGTAGTACAAATATAGGGTTTCTCCCCGGTATGAGTTCTTTCGTGTGGGTGAAGATGACTGTATCTAATGCAGGATTTCCCACAGTACTTGCACACACAGGGTTTCTCTCCTCTGTGAGTCTTTTCATGATCTCTAAGGGAAGTACTAGAGGACAAGGCTTTCCCACAGTGCTTACACACATAGGGTTTTGTTACAGTATTAATCCTTTCATGTTCATGAAGTTTACTAGATTGAATGACAGTTTTCCCACATCGCTGATCAGCATAGGGTTTCTCTCCAGTGTGCGTTTGTTCTTGTATTTGAATCTTACTCGAGGAAAAGGCTTCTCCATGTGTCTCACCTAAATAGGCATCTTCAACAGAGTGAGCCCTTTCATGGATGAAAAGCACACTAGGGAAATTGTGAGATTTACCGCCCTGCTTACACACACTGGGCTTCTCTTGAATGTGAACTTGTTCATGTTTCACAAAGCATTTTTGATTACTGAAGGCTTTTCCATATGACCTACATTTATACAGCTTTTTTCCAGAGTCCAGATATTCGTAAGGTTTGTGCCCATTTTGAACACCAATGGGTTTATGGATAGACGCATGATCCAGGAGGACTTCACACACACGAATGTTACTCGGTTTTACTTCAGAAGAAGTTTTTTTGTTTACAATAGCATCTGGGATCCACTTGATTTCTCCCCATTGACTAAATTCTTCTTCACAGAGTCTTTCAATGACTTCACCTCTGTAAGAAACAGAAATCACATTACTAAGTTTTTATTTATCAGTTATTTACCAAGAGAACTGCTGCTTTTAAGTACTGTAAGCATCTTTCAACAGGAAAGGACTGATGCTCTCCAGGATGTTGGGAGAACATTAAAACAGTGGTATTCAAATGAGGTTTTAAAATACTTCCCCAAGTTAGCTATTTGGGAACAATGAATTTCTACGTCTTATTTGTTGATCTCTTCTTTCATTTCACTGTGCTTGAGATGCTGTTCTGCTGTGCTGCTCAGGCTGGCCTGTAACTTTTGATCCTCCTGTCATCCTTAGGAACCCAGACCCCCATTTTCATGCCTGCCTCAGGATGTCTCCTCAGAATGTACTTGTCTATGCCTTCTGCAAAATGCTTGGACCAGGGTTTGGAGATGTGGCAAAGTTGCTACAGCACCTGACTTGTAAGCACAAAGCCCTGAGTTCAAACCCCAACACCACCAAAAACAAAATGCTTGGAACAAAACTACTGAAGATGGCTCCCAGTCTAAACATGAAATTTCTTTCTGATTCATATATACCTTATATCCATAAGCTGGATTCATACATTTTCAGTAACTTGCTGCATGGAACAGTTTATGTATTACTGAGTCAATAGGAAGCCTCAGTTAGGGGACCACATGACAGTGCTACAGCTATTTTCCATACATGCATTATCTGATTTTGGATTTCCCCACGAGACATATAACTTATATGCATTTTTGAGAAAACTGGCTGAAACTGAGTTCATTTGACGCAGAGCTCTTTTGTAGAGTTTCCTATCATTCCCTGGTTTGGGGAAACATTGCTTCTATTTGTGGGGGAAAATTACCTTAGGATTCTCCTGAAGCTTTTGTAGTCCCCTTGAATGTTAGGGTTCTGGTTTTGTTCCTAAAATATAGGTTCAGAAAATATGAAATACTTATATAGGAGGAATATTAGATTCTAGGTAGACTTATGGTATAATATGACCATGCCTGGTAAAGTCATCCTTTTCACTCTTTCCATATTCCAAATCCCTAAGCAGAATTCATGAGCATGAAACTCTAGTTCTGTTAGTGAGTAAGTAGGGAATGATGTCACTCTTACTTACAGCAGCCAGGTTCCTGAAGGTTTCCTGCATCACATCTTTGTAGAGCTTCTTTTGGGAAGCATCCAGCAGAGCCCACTCCTCCAGGGTGAATTTCACAGCTACATCCTCAAAGGTCACTGACTCCTAAAACATTTCACATCCATTTCCAGGAGGAAAGGTAAGATTTGCAGTATTGTAGACCTAGACTCAAAGGACGAGTTCAAATGATGCTGTTTTCCATATGTTCACTCCAGTCCAAAAAAAAAATCACAGTAAGAAATGGACCAAGACATTTACGTCTTTGAATATTACACATCATGCTTCAGAACTGCAGAACAGGAGAGCTAATACTAGTTTTTAATCTTCAGGATGAAAAGAAGGCAACAGGTATGTCATGGAGTGAGTGGCTTTGGATGGACACTTATTACAAAGCAAGAGATGCAAAATGTTCTAGGGTTTCGGCATCTGGAACTATGGTTTGTGAAGGGGATTTGACCCTGAGAGAATAAATGTGACAAAGGAGGAGTCACAACATGTTGAAGAAGGCTGTACCTTGCAGACAAACAGCTTAAATTACTAGGCAATATGGATCACTTTGGGGAACTCACTGAATGTCTCAGCAAACCCACAAGGTGCTGTAGCACTAAGCCATGTTTGAGCAGAGTCCTATTGTTAATGAATAAGTGCTGTGGGGATCAGCAAACCCAGAACAAACATACCTCACAATTCCTATGGACACCCTTCTGCACTGACAGAAATGGTTATCAGTCGTGACTTTGTGGAGTGTCTCTGAGACAAGTACCTTTTATGCTATATGGAGCATGCACTGTGACAAGTGGGCCAGGTGCTGGTGGCTCACTCCTGTAATCCTAGCTAATATGGAGACAGAGATCAGGAGGACCGAGGTTTGAAGCTAGCCCAGGCAAATTCTTTGTGAGACCTATCTCAACAACACCCAACACAAAACAGAGCTGGCATAGTGGCTCAAGTGGTAAAGTGCCTGCCTAGCATGTATGAGGTCCTAGTTCCAATCCAAGTACCTTCCCCCCAAAAAAATAAAGAAAAAAAATGTCCAGCATAGAAGTGGATGGTTTAGTTGCTCTCCACACCCCCAAAGCATTCCAGGATACCCTGAGTGTTTTGACCTTGCCACATATCTAGGCACACAGGAATGACACTGAAAATATACTCCGCCTGGCATATGTGGGATGGGTGTGCACACAGAGTCTCCAGATAGAAAATACCTTGATGTAGTCAATATGCCCACCCCGTGTTCACTGAGAAAGGTGGGTTGCCATGCATCCTGCCATAACGCCTTCAGGGGAATTACGAGCTGCAGCTCTTACTGCCAATTCTCCATCCTGAAAGACTCCAATCTTAAAATACTTCTTAAAAGAAGTTTTACCATACAGCACAGCTTGAGGAATTTTGACTCAGCCTTTCGCCTCCTCTGTTTATTCTGTATTACTATCATTGTGCTGTTTCTCGCAGGTCCTTTTCCCCCTCACTTTCACCTTATTTTGGTTTTTTTATTTGTTAACTAGACTTCCCACCTTTCATCGTTTTTGCTTTTTCCCCCTCATTCTGTCTTCTTTATTTGTATTTACATTATTTTCCCTATTCTGTTTTCTACTTTTTAATTCATCAATTTTCACTCCTCAGTCTTATTGTGTCTCCCTCTTTTTTCCACTTGTGGGGATCAAGCTAAGGACTTCATGCCCATGCTCCCAGATCTTCTGAGAGCAGTTTGTCACACTCAGTCCCACTTCCACTGCAGAAAGTCCCTTCTTCTTAGCAGTGAGGACATCATCACCCATGTGTTTCACATCTTTCACCATAACTGGAGGAACAAGATGAGAATGAGTAGGACAAATGGCCAATAAATATGGGGTAACACATGCAGCATTTAGACATTCAGCAAACTCAAATCAAAACTACATAGAGATTCTACCTCACCCCAGTTAGAATGGCTATTTTCTCAAAAGACAATAAATCCTATATGCTTGTGAGGATGTGAAGAAAACCGAATCCTTGTACTCTGATAGTGAACACAGAAATTCCTCTACCCACAGTGTAATCAGTATGGAGGGTCCTCAAACATCTACAAATACCCTGGGTATCAGTGCTCACACCTGTAATCCTAGCTACTCAGGAAGAGATCAAGAGGACTGAGGTTTGAAGTCAGGCCAGGCAAAAAGTTTTTGAGAGTATATCTCAAAAATACCCAGCACAGAAAAGGGCTGGCAGAGTGGCTGAAGTGGTACAGCACATGCCTAGCAAGTGTAAGGCCCTGAGTTCAAACTGCAAGGACTGGAGAAAAAAAAAAGGGAAAATGATCTCATGACTGCCATGGCCCTGTCTTCAATCTAAGGAGGAGATCAAATATTCTTTAAGATATTTAGATTATTATTATCATTATCACAGATCTTTCACTTAGTCACTGAGTTTATGCTTAATCATGAATAATTTAAGCTAACAAGCACATAGGGGAAAAGAAGGCTGGTGGTGTCGCTCAAGTGGTAGAGCAACTGCCTAGCAAGAGGGAGACCCTGTGTTCAAAACAACATGGGGACATAAAGAAATGTATAAACTTTGGAAAGAAAACACTCATTTCTGTTTATCTTCCTTGTAACCTCACAGTGTGAGTTGGAATTCAGAGACTCAAAAGTAATGAACAAAGCAGCACAGGTAACAGCATGGCAATCCCAGAAGCCAGCAAGTGGAAGCCATAGCAAATTGTAGCTATCAGACAGGGCAGGGCAGGTTACCAAGGCAAAGCAAGAGAAGGCAGCCAAAGGTGGTGGTCCAGATCTACACATCCTGAAAAGGTGCAGACTGCTATGGTTGGTCACCTGCAGACATGAGGTTCCGATGTCCAGGCTGAGAATATGTAACCCAAAACTGAGGACAGCAAAGCCTTATTTCCTACTTAACTGAGGGTTCAGGGAAACTGGAGCAGCCTCTCAAGCAGGTAGTCTTGAGAGAATAAGGAAAGAAGCCAGGCCTTTGAGCTTCACAGAGGTGAGAATTCACTCATACAGCATAGATCTGGGGCTCCCAGGTTTGGGATTACCTTATCTTGCTCAGGGGAAAAAAGGAATACTGAGGGTTCTTAGGGACCAAATACTTTGAACAAACATCAGAAAAGGAGTCACATACATCCAGTTTCAAGTTCAACAAAGAAGGAACTAGGAGGGGACAGTCCAATCAACACAAGAAAAAAGATACAAAATGTGATATTAGAAAGTTTTTTGGTACTGGTGTTGAACTCAGGGCTTTGCACATGTAAAGCAGGCACTGTACCATCTGAGACAAGCCCACAGTCCACTTTGCTCTGGTTACTTGGGAATGGGGATCTCTCCAACTGTTTCCTCAGGCTGGCCTCGAATCATGATCCTCCCAATCTCAGTCTCCCAAAGCTAGGATTACAGGCTAAAGCCAATGGCAACTCGAAAAACCCGAAATTTTTTCAGACTCAGGCAACCCACTTTCCATTCTGAAGAACCACAGGGGAAACCCAGAGGCACAGCTCATTCCAGCAGAACACATAAGCACAGCAAAAGCAGAACAACCAAAAACATCTGTGAGAATTTCTGAAAAAAAAGTGAAGGTTGCCAGGGCAAACCTCTAAATGGCCCAGTTCTCAGAGGCTCTAGAAATTGGTCTTTTACCTACATAAACCCTTTTCTTGTCCTTTTTGGTACTGGAGTTTGAACTCAGGGACTACACCTTAAGCCACGCTACCAGCCCTTTTCTGTGATGGATTTTTTCTAGATAGGGTCTCATGAACTATTTGCCTGGGCTAGCTTTGAAGGCAGCTGCTAGGATTACAGGTATGAACGAGCAGTACCCGGCTTATCTATGTGAATCTTACAAGGGACAGTCTCTGAAAACTCACATCCTGCTTTCAACAGTGGGAGAGTGGGGGGCAGGTGGGGCAGTTTAAAAGTTCATTTTCTTTAAAAGGATTTTGCCTGTTAGTACCCTTAAGTTTCCTTATCTCAAGTATATATTTAAAACTTTCATTCTAGTGTGGGAAAAAATGGCATCTTATGAGGCAGCAGCCACCAGAGCTGGTGCCTTTAGCTTCTAGCAGCAGAGGTGGACTCTTCAGGCTGGCTGGACAGGGCTCCTGTGCCCACGTTGAGGGACAGGGCCAGCTCCCATGCATGCCTCCTGGCCTCTGAGCTGAAGCTTCCAGGCTTGCGCTGATAGGTGGGGCAGACACTCAGGCACAAGCTCCCCACTGAAAACAATCACTTTCACTTAACTTTCCAATGCCACTAATATCTATTTAAGATTAGCTAGCCAGAGCCCAGAGGCCACCACAGAAAATTCTAAAGTTAGCCTAAATTTACTCTAAAGCCTCATTCACTGTTTACCTAAGAACAATTCACAACTTAAACAACTATGTTTGGAACAGGGAGGTTTTTACAAGTGAATTTTAAAAAGAACAAAAACCTAGACATAGAAGCTAGGCAGACATAGAAGCTAGGGATTTCCAACAAATTCTACATCCATTAAAGCAAGAACCAGTAAATTACTCAATGTCTCTCTTAACAAGACAGTGACCCAAACTCAGAAAGCCACCCCAGGGCCAAAAGAATCCAAAGCTGAGAGTTTCTTAGTAAATATTTAAGCCTTAAAATCTGACCCCATTGTTCTCACTTTAGAGACAAGGCCTGAGGCTGGTCTGGTGGGGCATGCCCTCTCATTCCACCAAGACTGAGGCCTGCCATTGCTAGCTTCCGTCCTGGGCCACGTGGCTACCTGGGCAGGGAGAGGGAGGCAGAGGGAAGCTACAGATGCATGGCAGCTGCGGGAAAGAGGCAGTGGCTATCAAGGGTGATAACTTGAGGCCTCATAGACCATCCTTCCGACCCTGTCCACCTGGACCAGATGGTCAATTTGCACAGTGCGGCACTGGCCACCTCTGTAATTCTGCCCTGGCTCCTGTGCTGTGTGATAGAACACTAATGTCACCATTGTGTGAATGGGCCAAAATGGCAGCCCCGCCCCTTAACAGAAATTCCCTCACTGTAGGACAGCCCCACCCCTACCAGAGACAACTGCGCATGCGCTAACTCCTTAACCTCCCCCTTCCATAAAAGCCACTCCTCACTCAGACTCTGGGCTGCGCCATC